CCCCCCCCCCTTTCAAGATACTTAAAAGACACAGGAATCTGGGCCAAACGACACTCCTTCAAATCCTCCTTTTCCTTCAGACTCTCCTTCCAGGGCAGCTTTTCACCAGGGGCCAGTGGACAAGTGAAAATAAGACCCCCCTTTTCAATTCATCCAGACGCCTGGAGTGTGGAAAGCCCTGCAGCCAGATCATTTGAATTCATCGCATTTGATGGGCGCTCTATTGCAAACAGAATTATGCAGGGGAAGGGAATGACTTTCCTATCAAAAACAACAACAACAACAACAACAACAACAACACTGCTTATGCCCACTGGGTATACCTGCTAGGTATAATATAATATACCTAGGGAAGTAAATTTGTTTAATCTAATAAAGAGAAGGACGAGGGGGGACAGGATAGGAGTGTTCCAATATTTGGGGGGCTGCCCCAAAGAAGAAGAGGGGGTCAAGCTCTTCTCCAAAGCACCCGAAGAAGGCAGGACAAGAAGCAACGGATGGAAACTCATGAAGAACCAAGCTAGAACTAAAGAGAAATTTCCAGACAGTGAGAACAATTAACCAGTGGAACCGCTTGCCTCCAGAAGTTGTGGGTGCTCCATCACTCAAGAAGAGACTGGACAGCCATTTGTCTGGAATGGTCTAAGCCGGTCTCCTGCCTGAGCAAGGGGCTGGACTAGAAGACCTCCAAGGCCCTTCCCAGCTCTGCTATTCTGTGTTCTACTTAGATTTGTCCATGCTTTGTACAACAATGGAGGAGGCTTAAAAATCTGCCCTCTGGAGATTGAGCTGGTACAGACCGATGTGGAACTGGGTTAGTAAGTTGTTCAAACTTGCTGGGCTTAATTTTATCTGCTAAAACGTAATGGAATTACAGAATAACATACAATCTCCACGATTTACTATTTAGGTGGTAAGACATACTAGCCATTTCTATAATAGCAAGCCGAAGCGATCGGCAAAAGCCAAAATCAAAATTTCATTTATTTTTTTCCCCACCTCAAGCCCAAAGCCCAAAAGCGGTTTCCAAGTAGAGACAAAATAAATATATATATATAAAAATAAATATGTAATAAAGTTGGAAGCGACCTTGGAGGTCATCTAGTCCAACCCCCTAGAGTACCATTTCAGACAAAAATGATAAAGGACGTGCGTCCATCCTTTCTTCGCGAACATCACCAGAGCCAGTGATTAAAGAGGCTGAATTACCAACCTAGTTCAGAGGTATACACAGTTCATTGAGTGACCGTTACAAACTACAACGGCCCTGAAAAAAGGGACTTATGACCGTTTTTCACACTTATGACCCTGGCAGCATCCTCCGCGGTCCCGTGATCAAAATTCAGACCCTTGGCAACTGACTCAGATTTAAGACCATTTTTCACACTTATGACTATTGCACTATCCCCGAGGTCATGATACTAGGTGACTGACTCGTACTTATGACGGTCGCAGCGTCCCAGAGGGGTCACGTGATCCCCTTTTGCGACCTTCCGGCACGCAAAGTCAACGGGGGGAAGCCGGATTCGCTTAACGACCGTGTGACTTACTTAACAACTGCAGCGAATTGCTTAACAACAAGGAAGTCGTAAAACGGGGCAAAACTCACTTACCCACTGTTTTGTTAGCAGTGGAAATGTTTGGCTCCGTTGTGGTCGTAAGCCGAGGGCCAAATTTATACGGTCCAATTTGGAGTGGGAAGACGTTGGGGGGGGCGTTGTGGGTATTCAGTGATAGGAAAACACACACTGCCAGTATTGTATCACACTAACACTACTTTAGTGGTAGTGGGGAAAAAAAATGACTGCAGGGTCTCAAGCCCAGGGCAGATGGTGGGCTGTGGACTTACACATCTGTTGTAACTTTTACCACATCATGTCTCATCGTTGCTAAATAAAACCCATGGATTCTAACATTTCATATCAAGAGGTCCGTGTGTTGTTTGAATAGATCCCGGAAAAATAGGTCACGACAGAAGAAGCCCCAGGGAGCAGCAGGGCTGCTTTCAATGGATGGATCCTGACCCCGGAGTCTTAAAATTGAGAAGCCCCCCCCTTCCTCTCACAAATGGGTGTGGGAAGTGGGGGTACAGACACAGGCTTTACTGAACTGAGTTTGTTTCCTTGCAGATGTTTTATGACTCAATCAGCCGGATAGCACTGATGATGTTACCTAGCTGGGTCATGAAACATCTGCAAGGAAACAGGAAAATTCAGAGAGCACCAAGGAGCCCACAGTCCCTTTTGTCCCATTCTCCTCCTCTCCACAAACCCCACTCCCTTCTAGCACTGATGAAGTTACCTAGCTGGGTCATGAAACGTCTGCAAGAAAACCACCAAGCTCAGGAAGCATTAAGTCCTTCCTTCCTTCCTTCCTTCCTTCCTTCCTTCCTTCCTTCCTTCCTACAAGCCCCACTCTAGCACTGATTAAGTTACCTAGTTGGGTCATGAAACATCTGCAAGAAAACCATCAAGTTCAGGCAGCACCAAGGACTCCACAGTCCTTCCTTCCTTCCTTCCTTCCTTCCTTCCTTCCTTCCTTCCTTCCTTCCTTCCTCTTCCCTACAAGCCCCACTCTAGTACTGATTAAGTTACCTAGTTGGGTTGTGAAACGTCTGCAAGAAAACCACCAAGTTCAGGCAGCACCAAGGACTCCACAGTCCGTCTTTCCTTCCTTCCTTCCTTCCTTCCTTCCTTCCTTCCTTCTCCTCCCTACAAGCCCAACTCTAGCACTGATGAAGTCACCTAGTTGGGTCACAAAACGTCTTGAAGAAAACAACCCAGCTCAGAGACCACGAAGGATCCCACAATAGCAGCATTTTTATCTTCCCTTGTGTAAAAGCTGCTCCAAAGCTCCACTTTGTGGGGTTGTCATTTCTGTGCCTTATCCTTGTCGCCCAATCAGGGTGCTCCCTGGAGGGGAGACTCCTGCCTTCCCCAGTTTTCCCAGTGCCCTAGGCAGCCCGGGGGGGGGGGAGGAGGAGGCCAGGACAGGAATCCCAGGGCCTCATCCTCCATCCTATAACCCCTTGGAAGGCCTGCTCCTCCATTTTGCAGGGGCCAAAGCAAAAACACTCTGCACGTGTTCAGAAGTCCTTTAGGAGGCGACTGTCCTCCTTTTGCAGGAATCAGGTTGGAAATGAAAGGAAAGCTGTTTTGGGAGACTGAGGGTCTCAGGGTCGAACTAACCCCAGGGACGGCGCTGGTCCAGCCCCAGTGCTGCTTTTCACACAGGAGATTCGAACCCGCTTCCCAGCCTGGCCCCTTCCTGCCTTCATTCCCAAGCAGGGGTCTGTCTCCAAACTTGGCCGCTGGAAGACTTGTGGACTTCAACTCCCAGAATTCCCCAGCCAGCGCAAGCTGGCTGGGGAATTCTGGGAGTTGAAGTCCACAAGTCTTCCAGCGGCCACGTTTGGAGAGCCTTGTTCTAAAGCCGGCTCCACTTCTGCGCCACTGCACATGCGCGCGGCAAGGGCCTCTGGGAGTTGAAGTCCCACACCGCGGCAATCGGCCCTGGCCATTGGACGGCCTTCCTTTCCTGTTATCCAATCAGACAGAGGGGACCGAGGCGTCCCGCGGGCGCCTCATCTCCGCCCTTTTCAGGTCCTGCCGCCTCTTCTCCCCTCCGGCTCGTGGCCACGCCCCGTCCCTCGCTCCGCTCTAGCCTCCCGACTCGATGCCTCTTCCTGGCTCCGAAGGTTCCGGCGGGCGCGGTTTCCGCCCGGAGTGCTTTCCCGCTGCTCCCGCCGGTAAGGGGCTCGGAGGTAAGCGCCGCGCCCGGTGGGTTTTTTTGGGGAGGGGGTCCGGGGGGGTCCCTTCGTGGCCGGGCTGGCCGAGCTGCCTCCTTTCCGTCTCCTTTCCCCGCTCGGAGACGTGTTTCTCCGGGGATTGGCGCTCGGGGTCCAAAAAGGCACTCTGTACATGCTCTGGGGCGCCCTCGCGGAGGTTCCGCCACAAGAAAGGCGCTTGGGTCGACCCAGGTGCTCGGGTCGACCCAGGTGGCAATTCATGGGTGAACCCGGGTTTAAATACCCGCGATTAGCACGTGGGAACGCTCCCCTCCTCCCCACCTGCGCGGTTCCCTCCTCCAACCCCAAGACCCATCGTGCTGAGCCCAAAGGGGAACGCCTCCTGTGCCCAGCTCAGTTATGGCTCGTGCGAATGCGTGAACACGTGAACATCCCAAACTTGGAGGGGGGGGCTTCTCGTCTTGTGCCCCTCAAAACCTGCAGTTATTTTGATTTAGGGCCTCCTGTGAACTCTCCAAATGGGGTCAGTTCAGTAGCCTGGCTAAGCACGTGTGAACCCAGCCTGAAGATGCTTGTTTAGGGAAAGCCCCGGGGTGACTTTTTTCTTTTCTTTTCATCTTTCCAATAATTTCAGGATCTTGTCCTGGAACTCTGGATTATTTATTTACGTGTTTTTAACCACTGGCACAATCCTGTAGCTCAGAAAAACAAAGCATCCACAAGACGATAATGTAACACTGTATTTCTATCTATCTATCTATCTATCTATCTATCTATCTATCTATCTATCTATCATCTATCTATCTCTATCTATCTATCTATCTATCATCTATCTATCTATATCTATCTATCATCTATCTATCTATCTATCTATTTTAATATCTATCTAACTATCTATCTATCTATTTATTTTAAGAAGAGACTGGACAGCCATTTGTCTGAAATGGTGTAGGGTTTCCTGCCTGAGCAGGGGGTTGGACTCGATGACCTCCAAGGTCCCTTCCAACTTTATTATTATTATTATTATTATTATTATTATTATTATTATTATTATTATTATTATTATATAAACACAGGCAGGCTCAACTACTCGGGAGGAGAGCGTCCTGCCCCTCTCCACAAGGCACACCTGGAGACTGAGATTTAAGGAGATGCTATGGGGAGGGGCATTTATTATTATTATCTATCTGTCTATAATTTATCATTTCTCTATCATCTATCTATATCATCTCTATCATCTATCTATCTAACATCTATCATCTATCCACTATCCACCTATCTTTATCATTATATCTATCTACTATATCTATAATCTATCATCTCTCTACCCACCTATCTTTATCATTATATCTATCATCTATCAATCTATCATCTTATTATTATCTATCTATATCATCTATCATTTATGTCTCATCTATCATCCACCTATCTTTATCTATCATTATATCT